TCGAAATTAGGATCACACTCAAGCAATAACAAAAAAATTAATTAATCGCAACCAACAAAATCGCATGCAAAAAAATTGATTACTCGACACGAGGGCCTCACCAAATTTGTTTCGGGGCAAAAATGATAAAATGTAAATTATTCTCATGCGAAAAAAAGCCCTCCGATGTCAAATAAAAAAAAAAAAATGGTAAAAAATAAGACATGCAAAAAATGTTTTACCCGAACTGGTAGAAGAGCCGCTGACTGGTTCAGACATGCGACTTCGACCAGTAGATTTGGTCTCTTCTGAGACGGTTCTGCTCCGACCAATACCACCAGGCACTTCATGCAACCAGGCAAACACCAGAATATAGGAATGTGATTACTGTACAAGTCGCAATCATTTATAGTCGGGGTACCCGGGTGTAAGATGTTAATCACCGGGTGAGTAAGAAAAATCGGTTAAAAGCCCAGAAATTCAGAATTAAAAAAAACGCTTCCTTGAGTGGAATATTTCAAAAATGTATTCCTAGTACTTTACTTGTTATTCATTTCGAGATTTTACGATGAACATTTTCCCCGTTTTCCTAGGAATCAAATGTTCATTCAGATCTTCAAGATTAACCTTTTTCGAGATTTCTTTTTTTTACTCGAGTTGCAGTAAAATGCGGCGAGCAGAAAAAAAAATCAATACACATGGAATTTCATCCGGTCATTTACGGATCAACAGTTGCACAACAAATAAACTATCCGTAATTAAAAGTGAAATTAGGGGCTTATCCTTAAAAAATAAGAATCTTAAAAAATACCGAAGAAATTATGCTGCAAAAAGTTCTGCAATTTCCTGAGCTAAAAGCGACCAACGAACAGTTCGAAAAAGAACTACTACAGTACAGTTCTGCAAAAACCTCATGAAAATAGCACACAAATTTGTACTTGAGTGTTTTTCAGTTGAAAACTCATGACGGAAACGGGTTCCAACCCCTCTACACATCCAACAAGCACAGCATGCCACAGAAACGCATTCGAACTACCGTAATGTGATACATGCGAAAAATTCGGACATTATTTTCACATTCTTCGACGAACTCCTCACATTCCGGAGCTTACGATAAACATGAAGCGAGTGAAGAAGACGAGGGATCTTTTTTTCTTCAGCGACAGCGAAGTCAAGTTCCCCCTCAGATCTCAACTTATCCCAACAAAAACACGTCTGTTCCAATATTTCCAACTCTCACCGTAATCCCAAAATCGAGAAAAAAACAAAACACGGACACTTTCTTAGCCTCAGGTTAGTTTGTCAATATAAGCGAGCTTTTTCACACGCGAATGTAAGACGCCATAGACTTCTGTTTACAGTTCTAAGCTTTAAAAAAAACCAAATGAAACACAAGCTCCCAGTTTCTTCCCACTATTCAAGAAACCCGGTTTCACAGGTGGAACCAAAGTGAGGGAACCCATTTTTAAAATGACATTATGCCCTCAAATCACGATACAAAACAATGAAAAACAAAAAAATAATTGTAGCACAGTATTCGAAATTTACGACATTCTTTTTCAGATTTATGCTTGGGATTACGAGGTTTCTATAATAAAATACTGTACTCAAACTTTGATTTGCACTGCGAGGGACCAGCAAAAGGAATCGAATGAAGAGGTTTCGAACAGGAAATCGTAATACTGTAACTGATATTCTGGTCCTTGAATTGCTTTCTAAAAGAGTTGACAAATGATGTAATTGGAGGCAAGGGTTCATCAGTCAATTTATCTTTCCCTTTCTTTCAGAACTCATCAGTTACATTTTTACCTTTTTTCTCTTCCCTGTGCCTTTCAGTCAGTGAGGTTTTAATGCATTGATTCGAAGGAAATTCAGACAGGGATTTGAAAAAAAAAAATTCGACACAGGGATGTTTGAGGTATTTAGGTTCAATGGCATCTAATTTCACGACGAATCGTCGGGTTTCATAAAATGAGACCATAAAATGTTTTTCCAGGACCAAATCGCTAAAAAAAAGCGTCTTACATTCGCCGAAAAAAGCATTTGTGTTTTTCAACGCCGCACAAAAAAAAAGGAAGCAGTGATTTGTTTTATTATAATGATCGCAACGATCTTCTTCCGATCCCCACGCAACGTAGTTCAACCGCATATACGTACGTGGAGCAGCGATAGCCCGAGTGGTCGTCGGCACACTCGGCGGGGACGTGGGAGAAGCAATAACTTTCTTGGGTCGTCCAGCAGCTTGCAATCATTTCACACACAGAAGACACCATCATTTTCTCGAGAATAAAATGACGTTCTACGAGCACTACCAGTAGTGAACCACAAAGAAAACTTCTGACCAGGTACTACATATTTTCTTTTTTTCTTCCTCGTATACATGAACGCATTCGCGAGTAACTGGACTGAAATTCACCAGCAAAATAAAAAAAAAAAATTCCCGCAGGAGTTCCCAGAAAAACCCAGAAGAGCTTGAAAGGACTAACACTAATCTCAACATTCCACCACCAAAGCGAGGTAGGTATTGGATACAAGAAGAAAAACTTACCTTCGCGTTGTTCTTTCTTGGCGGATTGTGGTGCAACAGCCATCGCTCCATCAACACTAGAAGAGTAAAAATGAAGAAAATGAACAAAAATCAAATTACGAAGAATTTCCGATTTTTTAACTTGCTCCTGAGGTATTTCTAGTAAAACAATGACAGTTCAGTTCATCAAACTCTACCAAAATATTGCCTGTATCATCTCATGTAATTCGTTTATCAACTATGAGGAAAAATTACTCACAAATAAGAATTTAAACTTTAGAACAGAAGAGGTTTGCTAAAAGGAACTCAGACATCCATTAGAATTGCTTTCATGACAAAAATAAATTGTTTGAATACTAAAAGTTACCTCGAATGCTAAAAATCTCACCGAGAAATCTACTTTTAGAAAGCATTTCTTATGATATTGTAATCGCTGTTCTAAGGCAAAAATGAGAGAATTATTTCCTCACATCACCCAACCGACTTTGGTACCATCCCCAGAGCATCACACTTCTCAATAACGCGTGATTCTCGACTTACAGATCTTTTACCCTTTTCGGCAATAAGTGAAAACAGAGATTGACCAAAACCTTCAATAATGTTCCCAAATCAGCATTCAAGATCCGGAGGTCGTAGTTTCAAGTTTGAAGGAAAAAAGGTTCCAAAATTGGCAAGTAAAATTCTCGGGTTCTTGGATTAGGGGAATCGGAAGTACGAACNTTCTAGGAGAACCTTTCGTCGATCAACTCTTCTCTTACTGGGTTGTTTCAGGCGGAATCTGGGTTGAACTAAGATGTTTTATGATGAACATGCACATTCTGCTTCATGTTTTAAGCCTTCACCACGTTCCGAAGCGACTTCTTTGTGGATTACTTTTCAACGGAGCACTTCCGTGCAGCAGTAAAATGTCACGTCAACGTATTCGTACCAACAAATCTACAGTATTTCATGTACAATATTCCACAAGTCAATCCCCCAGGGACAGAATCAAAACCTTTCCTAAAGACAGATATTTCAAAATCTGATTTCTGCAGCGGAGCACTCGGCGAAATCAACGTCTGCGGTGGAAAATCGAAGTTTATCTCTATCATAATGACAAGTTAGAAATGGAAATGTCCTTTTTATGTAATGAAATATAAAAATATCCCATTGCTCCTTTCGTTTTTCATGCATTATTGCTCACAATTTCTCCTCGTATTATAAAACGTTGAGGTTGCTCCATAGAGCGAAGATTCTTATCCCTGCACAACAGAAGTCCTAGGGGACTTCACGAGTCAAATCTCGTAAACTACAGTTTGGAGGACTGTTGATTTAATAAAATCATGTACTGTACTGCGATATCAAACAAGTGACACGTACCTTTCTTCAAGAATAGGTTCAGGCTCTGGTGGAGGAACTTCCCTGCGCATCATTTCTTCCTGAATACGCCTTTCCTCCATCTCTTGCTCTTCTTTCTGCCTGGCA